AATTCAGTTCATGAAAAGGATTAAGCCACGCTTGGAGAAATTTTCCAGGTCATACTTTTCAACATGAAGGAACTGAATCTTTAATTTTTATTCTTTTCAACTAATGATATAAACCTTTGATATTTAAAACTATTAATTCTACCACAGGCACAGATCCCTAACCATTGCCACATGCATTTGGTTGCTTAAATTTACAATTCTTTAATTTGAATTTCATCACCTTTTGATCCGCCAAAAAAAAAGTATTAGAGCATAACGAAAATTTTATGTTATTTAAAAATTTTTAAATATTTGTTTAAAAATCATTTTTTTATGTTTAATTGTTAAACATGTCAGAGTTCTAATAGTAAAAGTTTTAAAAGGTTTGCATCTACAGGTTGCAAAGATATTGGAATTTGAAAATTAGAGAAAATTATAAGGAAACAAATATAAAAATAGATAGATTTATGAATAATTGATTGATTGATAGAAATAGAATAAGAATATTTTCACTATATAATTAATTATAATATTAAAAGAACTGAATGTTTAGAAAAATGTTTTTTTGCTGCCAAGAGTCCGGAGGAAATTCCACAGGAAAGGCCAGGCACTTTATCATCATCATCATAGTAATAATTTGTACCAATCGAGGGTAAACACCGGGAGTAAAATGGACAACACTAGGCACTCCAGCTAGGAGATTATAAAAGAATAAGAACCGAAAATTTTTAAATGTGTTTTTAAAAAGAATAAATTTGTAAAACAATAGAAAGGCGTCGATAATAATAGACTGATAGTCTGGTTGATTGATTGATAGGAAGGCTCGTTGCCTTGTCGACTAATCTCCTCTACTCAGAATCCAAATAATTGCAAACATGAAAACCTGTATATTTCAAACATACAATATAATGTAGGTATAATAAATTAAATGACAATGTTAATAAAATTAAATGACAATGAATTGTATGTATCCTTGCTTGTATATATAAATATAAATATCTATAACTAGCTATTGATAGTTGAATGTATTTATCAGGCTATATTATGTTAATAGTCTGAGTTATATGAATCAATGTAACTTGGGAGCTGCACTTACCTAAGGTAGAAGATTATATCTATGTATAAGTCTTTCTACTATTAAGGTTCTTTGTGCACTGCAGTTTCTTTTTGCTTTGATTCATTATATAGAGCGCTGGCAGCATGTTCTAAATATATATGTCTATATATAAATATATACATGAATTCTAAGGTATTCCTAATCCGTTCTAGATTACAACAATATGATATCAGATGAAAATGTTTTGATATTTCTATATTTCTTCTTCTCTTTCTTCTTGGTTATCTTTCATACATCTTTCAATCATATAACGGCTATTTTTGAAAATTTTGAAAAAAAAAATGTTCTTGTAAATTAGCCATTTTTACAAGGAGGACTAGTTTTAAAAAGATCTTATTTTTTCTGAGCCCTGTAATCATTTTTATATTACAACGATATTTATTATTTAGCTAGTCAAACATTAACAGGTGGAGCAAATTGGCTTAATTTGTTTTAGGGAACCCAAGAGTCCAGAGGTGACAGTGGCTAATTTTGGAAATTCCACTGGTAACGCCAGGCACTTTATCATCATCACCATCATCATATCATAGTTTTAATTTGTACCAATTGTGGGTAAACAGCGGAAGTAAAATGGACAACGCCGAGCACTCCAGCAAGAAGATTATAAAAGGAGAAGAACCTGAAATTTTGAAATGTCTTTTAAAAAAAGAATAAATTTTCTGAAACAATAGGAAGGCATCGATGATGTTAGACTGAAAGTCTGTTTGATTGATTGATAGGTAGGCTTGTTGCCTTGTTGACTAATCTCTTCTACTCAGGACCCAGATAGTTGCAAACATATTTCAAACCTACAATATAATGTAGGTATAATAAATTAAATGACAATGTTAATAAAATTAATGACATAATAAAGTTAATGACAATGTTAATAAAATTAAATGATAATATTAATAAAATTAAATGACAATGTTAATAAAATTAAGTGACAATGTTAATAAAATTAAATTCT